TATTACTATGGTTGATTTAAGGTACAAGTAATTGACAAAAAGTATTTTAAATTTAAAAATATAATATTGGAAAGGTACAAAATAAGATATGAAAAAAGGTAATAATTTGCTGACATTTTTATTGTAAAGAATGCATGGTAGGGGAGATGTGAGGAAGTCCGATTGGCTATGTAAAAATGTTTTTGAAAATTGGATTTTTTCTTCTTTCTTTCTTTGTCTTTTTTATTTCTTTTCTATGGCTTTTATATTTCTGATTGTGTATTTGAAAATGTAATAAAAATATTTTTTTAAAAAAATGAAAAGACAATGGAGAGGCTTTTCCATTTTCCTTGACCTTGCAGAGAAATCATTTGGTCAGTTTGGGAGTCAAAATGGTTTCCAGGCTGTTTTCCTGTGCTGCTTCAGACATGTGGTTCATATATTTATGTACGTGTTTGCTTGGTACATTTATGAACATTTATTATATATAGACCTTAATTTTTTTATTTCAGTATAAACCGTTGGAACTGGTCTTTGATTTTCTGGAGAAATTGTAAACGAATCCAGTTATCATTACTGGTCCTGCTGTAAGGGGGTACAATTAGCTCTTTACATTAAAGGTAAAGGTAAAGGTACCCCTGCCCGTACGGGCCAGTCTTGACAGACTCTAGGGTTGTGCGCCCATCTCACTCAAGAGGCCGGGGGCCAGCGCTGTCCGGAGACACTTCCGGGTCATGTGGCCAGCGTGACATCGCTGCTCTGGCGAGCCAGAGCTGCACACGGAAACGCCGTTTACCTTCCCGCTAGTAAGCGGTCCCTATTTATCTACTTGCACCCTGGAGTGCTTTCGAACTGCTAGGTTGGCAGGCTCTGGGACCGAACAACGGGAGCGCACCCCGCCGCAGGGATTCGAACCGCCGACCTTTCGATCGGCAAGCCCTAGGCGCTGAGGCTTTTACCCACAGCGCCACCCGCGTCCCTGCTCTTTACATTGCCGCCCCCCAAATATACTCCTCAAATATACTTAGAAGAGACAGCTTATGTTACAACCTGCGATTGTGGGAAACCAGAGCTTAGACTTCCCATTTATGGTTTTTAATGTTGCAACTCTTAACACACTTTGCGGAGAGGGGGTACCTGCTTTCCAATACACATGCATTGAAATGAGCACACATCTGGAGAGGATTTCATCAGAGCCACCCAGGCTGGCCTTTGCTGTGGGAGAGCATCCTTGGGGGCTGAGGAGAAGCCCCTGTGGCCTGCAAATCGCCTTGGAGGGACTCTGGAGAGGAAGAGCAGAAAGAGATGTAACGTCACGCAATCCTGTTCCTTTGGCTTGCGTCTGCTTGCAGCATCTGTTCCAGATCAGGACTCTGTCCCTTTCTGCCTCCCTTCTGACATGCCCCTCCTGAAGAATGTGGCAGCCCAACATCAGCTGAGGACTGAATGAGCTCATTGTTGCCCCTTGTTACGGAAAATCTGGGTGCGTAATTACCCTGCCACCCAGCTCGTCGGACTAAGTCCGCGGGTCCCTGCGGAGAAGAAAGGAGCTCAGCCGGACGCAGGAGCAAACTACAAAGATCCAAGTTTATTGCGCAACAGGTTCAAGACGAGATTGAACCCCGAGAATGGGGCGACATAAACTTTTAAAAGTTCCCTCCGTGTCCCAGAATACAGTGCACGAAACGTCATGAATACATTATGGGAAGGTTGGGTTTCGCGAGTTACATCATGAATATATTTCACACGTCATGAATATATTAAAGAAAGGTGGGGTTACATTAATTAACATTTGAGATAAGGGAGGGGGGAACATGCAGAGCGAGAGATATACATAGATAAACATTTATTGAGTACCGGTGGTGGCAAGACAATGGGCCAGAGATATGCATCGTCTGCCACCTAATATTGCCCGGAGGAAGGGTTAGGCGAAACGATCTGACAGGATTAAGAAGTTCCTGTGTACGTGACCTGCCGTTTCGGGGATTATGGAAGTAGGGGTAGCATCATGGAGTCCAAAGGGAACTGAGTTGAATGACACCAAGAGCGAAGAAATCGGAGTTACGGTTGATTTTATATCAATTTCCAAAGGTTTCAGTGCTTTCCAACCCATTCCGTATTGTTGATCAAAAGCGGAAACAGAATGGATACATTGTAACAAGAATGGATACATTGTAGCAAGATTTTGACAGTTTTACGAGGTCCCTGGTTTTGGATCCATTGTTCTCGCAGTGGGGGGCCGTCAGCAGCTTGTCAGGAGTGAAATGAGGCGTGCAGTAGCTCCCTGAGCTAGCTTCTGCAGGGCGAATGCATGGCTGTGATTGGCTAAAGCACGGCCCAGTATAGTGAATGGGGATACAGTATGATACGGTCTACTCACGTTAGAAATAGGGCGAGAGGAAGGCATAAGAAAGATGGGGCTTATTTCGCCCGTATAAAGATAGGAAAGAGAGCCTTTTATTCATAAGGCAGGGGTATAGTGTGGTGCTTGTGTAACGGTGTGGGGGCTGAGGGTTCTAGGCAGAGCTGGGCACTGTCGAGGTCATCGCCTCGGGCCCCTTCAGGAAGCGGTGGGGAAGGATGGGTACCCCCCTTTCCTCCTTCCGTATCACCCTGTTATTCTGGTCATAATCTCCAACTCTCTTTCCTGGATTGTTTTTTTGGTGGTGGGACAACGACAAAGGTGACAACAGAGATTAAGCAGGGCTGCTATACCTTCACTCTTACTTTTGTGAATACTTCTCATCTTTTAGGGTTTTTTAAAAGACTTTATCATTAAGAGCTGGGGTGTAACAAAACCTTTGCAAAAACAGAGGTCTTCTCAGCAAGCATTTGCTCTTGGGCTGCCTGAACTGCCAAGCCTCTCAGCCTAGGACTGTCCAGGGGAAGGGGCTCTTTTTGGCGCTCATTGCAAATGGGAATGGAAATCACAGGGCCTTATGAAACGGAAGCATGCATGAGATCAGAAAATGTTCTGGGACTTCTTCAGATCTTAGCATTCACCAGACGTGGGGTAGAAATTTGGTTTGGTTTGCATTTTAATGTAGACTGGTCTCATTCTCAAAACAATATGCAAACCAGAGTGCAGCTTGCCTTTAAAATTTGCAGTTCTCCAGATTTTACAATGCAGAAAAATGTGTTCAAACATGCATATTTATGGGACAATTTAATTTTTTCTTTATTATTAAAAGCTAAAATAACATTTAAACTGTATTATATTTGGGGGAAATTCTTTGTGTTATATTAGGCAAAATCACATGCAAAGGTGTGTTTATTAGGAGGAAGAGAGTTTTAATGTTTAAAAGTTCAACATATATAGATATTTAACACAAATGAATGTGGAAATGTGTTGGACTGGAAATACTGGAAAATGAAAAATTTAGAGAAACGTAAATTGACAGATCTAACCATCCCTGCCATCCACCTTGAATTACAATGGAAGCATTTATGGCAAACTGAGTATATTTTGATTTTTCAGCTCTCAGATTACACACACACACACAAAGCAGCAAAGAGGAATGAGATGTAATTGATTATCTAATAAATTGCATACCACTTTTCAAGGGGGGAAAATCATCCAAAATATGTTTACAAATGACGTATCAGATAAGCAATAAAATACAATTTAAGACTGCAAAGCACTGCCAAAATCTTAAAACAATATTTAAAAATGTTTCTAAAAAGCCAAGAGGACCAACGCTAATCCAGCATAATGTAAAATTATCAAAATCAGGTAAACATTGGAAAGTTATGCAGCTCAGATCAAACAAGTTGCTAAAGGTGGTGTGAAAAGGTGGAACGTCTTGAAGGCTGCAAGAGAATGAAGAGAACAACCTAAGAAGAGCCAATGGCCCATCCTCTTCTCCCAGTGGCCAAATGGATGGGCCAGCCTGGTCGGACTCTGACATCTCACGTAATCACATTCCACCGTTGTGGGGCTGCCGCTAAGAATGCCTGCATCATGAGGCCTTCACAGACATTTCATAGTGGATTGAGTAACTTCATTGATTGACTGTAAACTATCATCATCATCATCATTATTAAAGATTTCCTTATACAGTGGTGCCCCGCAAGACGAATGCCTCGCAAGACGAAAAACCCGCAAGACGAAAGGGTTTTCCGTCGCGGAGGCGCTTCGCAAGACGAATTTCCCTATGGGCTTGCTTCGCAAGACGAAAACGTCTTGCGAGTCTCGCCATATTTTTTTTGCTTCCCCCCCCTTTTTCAAAGCCGCTAAGCCGTTAATAGGCTTTTAACAGCTTAGCCGCTAAGCCGCTAATAGCGCTAAATCGCTAATAGCGCTAATCCGCTTAGCCGCTAGACGAAGAGGATCGCGGAATGGATTCTTTTCGTCTTGCGAGGCACCACTGTACTACGTCAGATCCTGGCTCCACCTAGCTCAATGTTTTCTCCTTGCAAGGCAGGTGTGCCACAGAGCTATGGCCCCTTCGCCTAAGAGAGTGTGCATTGTTTTGAAAATGGCCAAAAACATTAAAGGAGCAGAATTGGTTTTCTCCTGACTCCAAAGCAGACAAAAGAGCAGGATTGTGCTGGGCACCATCCACTGTGCAGTCCTTTCCTGCCAAAGTCCAGTAGACGTGGAGGGGGGAGCCGGGATTCTCCTGGAGGGCTCCTATTCCTCAGAAGGTCTTCTGCAGATCTTCCTGAATGACTGAGCCCATTGTGTTTTATTTAACTGCAGAACTATAGGACCCAATTAAAAATAATGAGGCCCGTCTCCACCTGCCAGGCTCAGTTAGTGATAATGGAAGCTGATAGCTCCTGGAATATATTCATTTTTGTCTGATAGGTGAACTAGGGCAGGGGTCTTGGCTTGGGTCAGTGGCACATCCCTAGCAACAAAACATGGGTCATTCGCACCCAAGGGGGCCTTTAGGAACCCAGTGATTAAATAAGGAAGTAGGAAGTAAATCAAATACAAAAAGGTGAAGGACGCCCCCCCTCCGTTTCAGCTGCATTTTACTGTTTGGCTATTCATCAGATTATTCCCTCTCTTTAAGGCCAATGGGAAAAATCCACTGACTGTGGACAGATGAGGAGAGGGATCCATTTGACATCACACATCCAGGGAGAAAGAAAACAAGCAATGTGATTCTGGTCCACATTGAGGAGTTGTGGAAAGGTCAGTATTTCCTGCCCCGTCCCAGAACCACCATACAAGCCTAATTGTATTACGAAAACCTGAACTTGATCGCGTTTGGGTGTAACTGAAAGAATTATTAGAAGTGCTGACATCTGCATGGCGAGATCAATATAAAATCACAGAGCTTTTAGTTAATGCGCCAGGTTTCTTTTATCATTCAGCTCCCTCTTGAGGCATTAAAAAATACACACATATATATTTACCCGTCAATGGAGACAGTGTGCTGGGGATATCTCCTAAATGAGAGCCACATGGGAGGAAGCAAACCCAGTGGATTGTGTTTATTATTGGCTCAGGCCTTTCAAAACATACTATTTTGTGTGTGAGAGAGAGAGAGAGGAGGGGGGATTTGAACTTGGCCATCTGACATAACTGGTTCTTGAATTAACCTTAAGTATCTGTGCGGCGATTAAAAGACGCCTGCTCCTTGGGAGAAAGGCGATGGCAAATCTAGACAACATCTTAAAAAGTAGAGACATCACCTTACCAACAAAGGTCCGTATAGTTAAAGCCATGGTTTTCCCAGTAGTGATGTATGGAAGTGAGAGCTGGACCATAAAGAAGGCTGATCGCCGAAGAATTGATGCTTTTGAATTATGGTGCTGGAGGAGACTCTTGAGAGTCCCATGGACTGCAAGAAGATCAAACGCATCCATTCTTAAGGAAATCAGACCTGAGTGCTCACTGGAAGGACAGATCGTGAAGTTGAGGCTCCAATACTTTGGCCACCTCATGAGAAGAGAAGACTCCCTGGAAAAGACCCTGATGTTGGGAAAGATGGAGGGCACTAGGAGAAGGGGACGACAGAGGATGAGATGGTTGGATAGTGTTCTCGAAGCTACAAACATGAGCCTGACCAAACTGCGGGAGGCAGTGGAAGACAGGAGTGCCTGGCGTGCTCTGGTCCATGGGGTCACGAAGAGTCGGACACGACTAAACGACTAAACAACAACAATCTGTGCGGCGAGAGCACTCCAAACTTGGAGAAGCTGGACAGGACCTGTCATTTTGAATGAGTAATCCACCCTGAGTGCAGAGGAGAGGCAACACATTGCTTCCCCCTTCAGTCACGGAGAAGGGCAATCACTATCTGTCAGCAGCTCTTTAAACACACACACCCCCAGATGGGATGCTTAACTTATTGGCAGCAATTCAGCCCTGGCACCTCCACTGTCAGTGGGTGACTTTGACACTTGTTAGTAGGCGACCACGGTGCAAGCTGCGCACCACCTCCTGTCTCTCTTGGCCATGAGAATTTTTTTTAAAAAAAACCACTAACATCCTTCTCTGTGTCTAATGATGTTCCTGAGAGAGGCGAGAACAGTCTTTCCCGCATTCTCCACCCACCTTGAGCCACTGCAAACAGCAGTCAGCAAATGCCTTAAAGCAGTGTTTCCCAACCTTTTTTGGGCAAAGGCACACTTGTTTGATGAAAAAAATCTCGAGGCACACCACCATTACAGCCCCGTGACGTCAGCGCGCAGCGTCACGCCGGGAGGGACGCACGAAAGTGTAACTTTCAATTTTTCCCCTCCCCCTTGCCGGGGAACCTCCAAGCTTTGGGGGTGGGGGGGGGGAGGAGGCAGCAAAGCGAGGGACTGAGGGACCCTAACCCTAACCCTAACCCTAACCCTCACCGATCACCCGGGAAAGCATGCGAACGAGGAGCCCCCGTGTCCTGCTCCCGGCAGCGGACGGCACAAAGCGAGGAGGCCTGGACAAGGCAGCACGCTCCCCGCTCTCGCTGCATCGGGGCTTTTCTCCTCCAGGCCGCTTTTGAAGTCCCCTTCTCCGCTCCCAAGAGCCGGAGCCGCTGCTTCCAGGCCCTGTCCGAGCCCCGACTTGTGGCCTCACTTCGAGGAGCGCCTGTTGCTGGGGACGGGGCTGCATCCCCCTCAGCCGCCGCCTCGCTTCCTTCCAGGAGACCCGACGGCTCCCCCTCTCCCGCTTGCCCTCCTGCGCCCGCAGCAGACCGAGACCTCCCCGCCCCCGCCCGGCTCGGCCCTACCTGGGCGCCTCCAAGCCCGGCCGGCTCCGCGTCGCGCTCCACGCCGGGCAGCTGCAGCAGGGGCTGCGCGGGGGCGCACCTGCATCAGCATAAATTATGGGTATAGGATTGCTCTGCATGTTGCTTTTTTTCTCTATAGTTGACAACTAGGATAGCTACTCTCAAGTTATATATATAGTTTAAAAATGCACACAAAACTCAGCTGGTAGCTTGTGAATTTTTCTCTGGTCTACAGAGTTATTAGTATCAATAAGAACATATTATGTAGGGAAAGAGGAAGGGGAAATGTCTGAAAGATACCAGAAATCCCCTTTTGTCCTTGTGTTCCCCATTAGTACACCCCATAACACCAGCTGGGAGGAGAGCACATCGTGATCGATTCAGCTGGTCACCCATGTGCTACAGAAGAAGCCAAAAACCGACAAGCAGTTGGCTCATTCTCTTGCAATATTGTCACCCAGGAAACAAATCTATGATGACACAGTTACATGCATCTGTGAACCTCCTGGCCTCATAGGTCACTGGGCAAATCTCTGCAAACCCAACTGTTGACAGTTCTTCACGGGGTTCCCCACAGGAAACAGAAGGTTAATTGACCATTCCCCAAAACCATGAAGTGCTTTTGAAAATGTTAGTTTTAAATCATGGGACACAGCCCCCTGGACTACAAAAAGGAGCAAGTGCGAGAGTGGCTTGTTTCTACTAATTACTGAAATGTTGGATTTGGGGACTGGGAAGGTGAAAAAACGGTTTAATTGGATTTCCGAGTCATGTCAAAATTGAGCAGAAGCAACCTAAGAAGCAGTGGCAGGATTTGGGACAGAGACGTTTGAGGAGGGCGGGTGGATCCATCAGGCTAAAGTGCCCCTGGATAAAAATAACACCCCTGCCTCGATTGTTCCAATTTGATTAATGCCAGTCAAGGAGGTGTGTGTAGAAAAGTCTCACCCTGGTCCATGTAGAATCTGGAAAGGACAAACGGGGATGAAACATTGAAGACACAGCTCACATTGCAAAGGGACTGGCTTTTTACACCAACTTCATGTCCTGACAATACCCCAAAGTAGATGCCAGCAGCACACCTGCTATCTCAACAAAATAAATGGGGAGAAACAACAATGCAGGCATGTCCTTGTAGGTCTGTCTGTAACAGGAAGCACAGAAGACCTAAAACAATTTAAGATCTTGTGCTGGAAGAAACATCACCAACAGCTGGGGCAACAGGGCAGTCTTCCCCAGGATAGGGCTTTCCAGATGTTTTGAACTAACCCCCATGACATGACATGGAGAAAGTTGAGAAAGAATTTCCCCCCCTCCCTCTTTCATAACACTAGCAAGTCACGGACATCCAATGAAGCTCAATGTCAGAACATTCACAAGTGATAAAAGAAAGCACTTATTCACGCAGCAGATTGGCTGAACTATGGAACTCGCTGCCACAGGAGGCAGGGATGCCCTTTAAAAGAGGATTGGACAAATTCATGGAGAAGGCTATCAATGGCTGCTAGCCACGATTGTTTTGCTTTGCCTCCACAGCTGGAGACAGTTGGTATCCATCTGTCTCAGGAGACACTGAAGGAGTGTGCTTTCAGTGATGAAGTCCAAAGGTTGGCGAGTTACAGCGCCTGCTGTGGCTGTAGAGACTGATAGGGGAGAGACATGTTTTGTTGCAGTTGCAGCAGAGGAAGGCATCCGGTTGTGTTGCTGCAGATGCACCAGGGCGTTTTTCCTCTCTGCGCTTTCCCCAGCAGTCATTCCTCCTCTGAGCATTGTTGTGGATGCATGACCTGACTGTCTCCAGGCACTGCAGTCATCTGCTAAGGATTCCTACAAGGCAGATTTAAGGTTAATAGAGGCAACAATGCTTCTGAAGACCACTTGCTGGAAACTGCTGGAGGTGAGAGGCCTCTTGTGCTCAAATCTTGCTTGTGGGCTTCCCACAGGCATCTGGTTGGTCACTGTGAGAAGAGGAGTCTGGACTAGAGGGGCCCCTGGGGCGGATCTCGCAGGCTCTTCTCCTGTTCTGGACTTGACACTACCTTTGACATTCTTTTCTCACCAGGCAGACATTTTCCTTTTTCTGGGGCAGCACCCAGGTATTGATGTTTATATATTCTGGCTATGTTTTTAACTTCATAAACTTTTGTTGCACTATCCAAAGGCCATGGCATCATCCAAAAACATCAACAGTCACTACATATACAATAAAACCACAGACAAATCTACTAAAATTCTCTGTTACAAAGGTAGTTCTCATATAACATGTACAAATTAAATCTCCGAGTCCCCTTTGCAGTTGACCACTAGTTTATCTGGTTCTTTCACCCTAATCTTCCCAGCTGCCAAGGTGCAGAGAGCTACTTTATAAGCTACAAAGTCACTGGCCTCACTCTGCAGCCGTTTCACCTTCTCTGCCCTGGTTGTTCTCAACATACTTGTGCATTTTGCTTATTGCTGATACTGTAAAGACTGCCTTCTATTTGAACCAGTCAGGCACTAGGACCACCCTCACTTCTCTTGGTTTTCAGGAAGACCTTTTTGTCCGTTACATCCCTGCATATAATCAGTGGTTGGTCCTATTGTACAACTCAGATGCACCATCTGTATGCTCTCAAGTGACTAGACTTTTGCTAAATGCCTTTTCCTGGTGGGATTAATGGGCAATTTCACACTAAATGATTTTAACTACAATTTGTTACACTGAAAGAAAGTATTACAAGCAAATTTCACCCATGGGGGGTGGGGAGGCCTGGCCTTGTAAAATGGAGCACCTATCGCTCTGGTTTATGTCTATTTCAGTTTAAATATCAATCTACAAGAAATACAAAGAGGATTTGTAACACAATTGGAGGGGGGAATTAAATGCTCTGGTAAATTAAAAGAGGCATTAAGCGTTCTGAGGAAATAAGTTGCTTGTTTAAAAGCAGTTATTCACTATAATTTAAGTGTGTGTGTGTGTCTAGACTTTCCTAGTGCTGTTTTTCGCTTCTCTAGCCCATTTTGGTGCACATAGTCACGCGTGGATCAGCCCTTTGCTCTATTTATGTCAAGCAAATCACTGTGTTTGTTGCAGAGTACTGGAACTTGCTAGGGACGCGGGTGGCGCTGTGGGTAAAACCTCAGCGCCTAGGACTTGCCGATCGCATGGTCGGCGGTTTGAATCCCCACGGCAGGGTGCACTCCCGTCTTTCGGTCCCAGCGCCTGCCAAAAGCACCTCCGGGTGCAAGTAGATAAATAGGGACTGCTTACCAGCGGGAAGGTAAACGGCGTTCCGTGTGCTGCGCTGGCTCGCCAGATGTAGCTTGTCACGCTGGCCACATGACCCGGAAATGTCTGCGGACAGCGCTGGCTATAGAGTGAGATGAGCGCACAACCCTAGAGTCTGGCAAGACCGGCCCGTACGGGCAGGGGTACCTTTACCTTACTGGAACTTGCTAGCCAGTGTGTCGTAGCAGAAACACATTCTGAATGATGCCCTAGTAGAGACCGGATGAACACTCCTTATCGATATACCATGTCTACTTTAATTTACCTGGAAGAAGGAAGAGGAAGGTTGACTCAGGATTGCTGCACACAGCTTATGCATTTTGTAAATTCAAGAGAAGGCTTACTCAATGCTCTGCCTCCACAGTCAGAGGCAGAAAACATCAGAACATTGGAAGAACCCTGCTGGGTCAGGCCAACAGGGGCCCATCTGGTCCCACAAACCGTTTCCACAGGGGCTGCCCAAGGCCTGCTGGAAACCTGCAAGGAGGATCTGAGCACAAGATCTCTGGTTTTCAACAACTGGGATTCAGAAGTGTTGATGCCTCCAACCAACTTGAATAAAATATGGGGGGGGGCTGCAAGTAAGCCCTGCCCTGCATAATCAGTCGCATGACATGGTGCGCTCACACCATTTGAACGGCAATGCCCATCAACTAGGAAGGAGCAGCCCCTCAAATATTTTATTGGGGACCTTGGCTGCTAGGAGTTGGCTCCTCTGCAATCCACACTCTGGCTAGGAGCCATCCCGAGCGCTCTCCTCCTCCATGAATTTGTCCAATCTTCTTTCCAAACCATCCAGGTTCTGCCCCTCCTGAGAGGCCTCCCTCCCGGGGCAGCAGGGAGTTCCACAGTTTCGCTCTGCTCCGCGGCAGCCTGGCGGGCCTCTCCCGGCCGGGCTCCTTGCAGTCCTCGCGGGCCCTTTCCCGCTGCTGGAGGCGCGGGCGCCGCGGCGCCAAAGGGGAGGCCGGCCCGCCCTCGGGGCGACTGGGAGCTCCTCGCGGCCGAGACCCGGCTCCGCGCGCTGCCTCCGGGCTCCGCGGCGAGCTTGGGGCGGGCGCCGAGGCTGCTCCGCCGGGCGAGAGAGAGAGAGAGAGAGAGGAGGGCGCCGCTGCGCCGCCTGCCCGGAGCTGCCCCGCCGCTGCCCCCCCCCGCCGGCCGGCCCGCCCCTTCTGCGCATGCTCCAGGCTGGACAGCTCCCCGAGAGGGAAATTTAAAAACGGTTTGGCGAGCGAGGGAGGAAGCGAGGAGAGCGCAGCCCGCCGGGCGAAGGGAGCAGCCGGGCAGACGCCGCCGCCGCCATCGTGGTGCAGGTACCTGCCTCCCCCCCCCCTGCCCAGGGGCGCCTCTTCCGCAGGGCCCCGAAGAGATCCCGCAGGTGGGGAGCCCGGGACCCGGGGGGGCATAAGGGGGTCTTGGAGCAGCTTCGCCTTCCTCCCCGTGAAAACAAAGTGGTATTGGGATAAAAGATGCTGGAGTGATTATTGCCCCCCAAACTTGTCAGTTGCTATGACTTCGTTTATTTTCACCCACTTCTGCAACCAGCGGGTTTCTTTCTTTATTTGTTTTCTTTTGAGCAATTATTTCACTTCAGTGGGTTGTACTTTTGAAAATAAGGCTAAGTCCACCTTGAGTCCAGTGGGCTGCATTTCTGAGTAAATGTGTAAGGTCAGGCTGCTCTCTCTCTAGATGAGGACACTCACAGCAAAAATGCCTGGAAAGTCGGTCCTGTGTAAATCTTACTGAATTTGGACTTGCACATAAGACTGCAAAATGTTGTTTATCCCAAATTTATCCACTTGATAATGGTGGATTTTCTCCTCATTATATACTAGTGTTTGCTCATTAAGCATCAACAAAGGTTTTTTAAAAAAAATCCAAGGAAATCTTCTTCTGAAGCAAAATATGTAAGATTTGGGTGTCATCATATATATCATTTTAAACAATCAAGAGGCTAGTTCTTTATTTGTTGAAATACTGGGTAGTTCTGTCATACCTATGTGGTCCTCTCCCCTTCTTTCCATGTAGGAAATGATAGAAAGTGATATCAACTCCGTCATGTCTGGCCTCATTCGAAATTCAGGGCAAAGCCACCACCCTTCTCCACAAGAATATAGGTGAGCATTTTCTTTCTTTCTTAATGAATTTGTATTTCTCCCTGCTGTCCTGTGAAACGGTGCTCTGAGTGCCATTTGGCCCCAGGCACACAAATCAATTTCACAGTTGCCCTTTGCTTTTCAATTAGCTCTCCAGCCTGGCAATTTCTTGCATCTTAGGATGTGCTCAGTAACTAAGGGTTAATAATTATTTATCTCTTCCCTTCTTCCTGGGCCCTTCCCTTGGAAACCTGGCAGAGCATTTTAGTAGGTGCTACTGGGGATTTCTGTCCCCCTCAAATGGCTTCTGGAGGTGTGTAAATGCCAGGTAGAACATCTGTACACTCCTTGGTGTGCAAACATGGTTCAGCCCTTCCACTGAAATGAATGACAGGTTCTGCGTGCATAAGAGATTTGGTGTCTTTGACACGTAGCAAAATCACAGACACATTCTGGCCTCCGTCTGTTTTACCGAAGACTCATGTGTTCATACAAATGACATGAGAAAACTTGGTATACTTATTGGTATAACATTATTCTTGTTTATAAAACCCATTTTTAAAAAATTTCTTTTTTCGTGTGTGTGTGTGTGTGTGTGTGTGTATTTCTTTAGTTTAAACCCCATACTTTATCCAGCATGAGCCATGGCAGTTTGGAAGTTAATGCCAGCCATCCGTACGCTTTGAATATTGAGCGTCTAAGGATTGTCTTGCTGAATCAAGCCATAGTCCAGGGGAAAGGAATCTCCCTCCCTGTCTCCCTCAGTCCAGATGCGCCCTGAGCAGGGAGGCGGGGTCTCCATCTGGCCCTGCTCCAACAGCACTCAGGCTTGAAATCAGCCTTGCATCTACATGAGTACACCGTACAGTACAGCGTGGCCAGTTGGGCAGATGCCTTTGGGCTCTCGCCTTCAGGGAATCTGCGCCTACCATCTTGGATCTTTCCTCTGAATATCAAGGTTCCACTTAGCTATCATGCCCAGTTGGCATTGAGAGACTCCTTCTCTGGAAACTTATTGACTTCCCTTTGCAGCCATATCAGTTGGTGGCCAATCACCACATTGTAACCAGTGGAACTTCCCACCACTGTACACCAAATTCCCTAAGTTAAATTACATGCGGTGTTTGTAATTTTTGTCTGCTGTAAAACTGCAGCTTAAAAGCTTGAATGGGTGACCCAAAGTTCTAGTATCACAAAAGAGGCGGAAAAGGTTTCCTCTGTCTCCACATAGCTCAGAATTTTATAAACTTCTTATTGTGTCCTGCTTTCCTGCCACTCTCTGAAGTTATTGACAGGAAAACAAAGCACTGCAGCTTTCTAAAATGTTATTGCATCCTACCATGTGATAGGAGGCAGAATAACTGCTATATGTACTCTCTCTCTCTCTCTCTCTCTCTCTCACACACACACACACACACACACACCACCAACAACAACAAAAACAGCCACGCCCCCCAGTTGTTGCCTTGCTGTACTTTGGGTTAAACTGGGTTACATTTTATACTGTGGTATGAAGCTCCTTAAAGGGATGCGGGTGGCGCTGTGGGTAAAACCTCAGCGCCTAGGACTTGCATGGTCGGCGGTTTGAATCCCCGCGGCGGGGTGCGCTCCCGTTGTTCGGTCCCAGCTCCTGCCCACCTAGCAGTTCGAAAGCATCCTTAAGTGCAAGTAGATAAATAGGTACCGCTTTATAGCGGGAAGGTAAACAGTGTTTCCGTGTGCTGCGCTGGTGCTGGCTCACCAGAGCAGCTTCGTCACGCTGGCCACGTGACCCGGAAGTGTCTCCGGACAGCGCTGGCTCCCGGCCTCTAGAGTGAGATGAGCGCACAACCCTAGAGTCTGGCAAGACTGGCCCGTACGGGCAGGGGTACCTTTACCTTTTTATGAAGCTCCTGGCTGGACGCGGGTGGCGCTGTGGTCTAAACCACAGAGCCTAGGGCTTGCCAATCGGAAGGTCGGCAGTTCGAATCCCCGCAACGGGGTGAGCGCCCATTGTTCGGTCCCAGCTCCTGCCCACCTAGCAGTTCGAAAGCACATCCAAGTCCAAGTAGATAAATAGGTACCGCTCTGGCAGGAAGGTAAACGGCGTTTTCGTGCGTTGCTCTGGTTCGCCAGAAGCAGCTTAGTCATGCTGGCCACATGACCTGGAAGCTGACTGCGGACAAACGCCGGCTCCCTCAGCCTATAGAGCGGGATGAGCGCTGCAACCCCAGTGTCGTCTGCGACTGGACCTAACGGTCAGGGGTACCTTTAGCTTTACCTATGAAGCTCCTACCAATTAATCTACCATCAGGTAACCTACTCAAAAGCACTTTTTAAAACTCCTCAACTTTTGTGCATTTGGAATGGGCGACTCAGAAGCCCCCTTCCCTCTCTGCTGGAGGGTCTTCTACCCTTTTGCTTTGGGCAGCTACTACTTTCAGATACTCTTTCCCACGGCAAACATTCCTGCTCTAGCCTTTCATTGCTCAACAAGCAACTTGCTAACATTCTCTGAAGCTCCATGGGGAAAAGGTTCATGGAACACCTTATGCTCCTCTTTCGTCTGGTGGACTCTTGACATATCCTGGCATTTGTAAAGGATGGATTTCATTGCTAAATAAAAGTTGTAGGTAACCTATATATGCCTTGCTAGTAGGTTTTGCAGATAACGTTATTGTTTTTGAGTGGGTGAGATCATTTTGAATTCAAGACAGAAGGAAAATAAATATCATTTTCATTTGTAGATACAAGCCTTCCACAAACTGAAATGGAACTTATTTCTAAGTGATCATGCTGAACATAATACCTTAAAAAAAAAAAAAGCAGGCATACATGCTATTATTGGAACTTTTTCCCCGGTACAAACCGAGTTCCCAAAGTTTGTAAAACATAATGCTGTAATTTATTATTATGTATTCTAAACTAATTTGCCCAACCCCATTTAAAAGCAGTAAAAGTGTATTTAAAAAACCCTAGATTGTACCCCAAAGTGCATGGTAGCATTTGTTCTACTTCATGAGAAAGCACATTGGATTATGTAAAAGAAAATCTTTCAGACTGCCTGATTTTAAGAAGAGAATGGACCTGTCAGATTCTATCAGGTCTGTTTACTCTCTTGCTATCACTGCAGCCGCGACTGGAACCTGCAGCCCTGAGTTCTCCATGGGGGGGGGGGCGCATGAAGACTCCACAAAATGGGAATTGGCCCCCAATTAGTGAGCGGGAGGCTGAGATTGTGCTGAGAACACTCCGCTCTCTCCCTTGAAATGTTTCCATTGGGCTGCGGAACTTAGAAGAGACCCGGTTTCCAATACAGTATTTTAAAGGAGGGGGCGGGGAGGGGAATGAAAAGGAACGAAGGAAGAGAGTCGCAGTTTTGAAAGACCGATCTGAGAGGCCTTCAGTTCTTTGACCATCAAACCTTTGTGCAGACACTGCTCCCTGTTGCCTGGTTTGATAGATGCTGTGATGCTTAAATGTTAAGAACTAGCCTTTGTCCCAAGGGCTACAATGCGCACACCTGATCCTGGTCCGGCAAGGGAGAGTGCTGCACAGACACAAGCATGGCCAGGCCCACAATGACATCTCCTCTCATCTTATAATTAATTGTGTTTATATGCCCCCCCCCAGGAGCTCAAGATGGTCACATGGTTCTCCCCCTCCTCACTTAATCCCCACAGCAACCCTGTGAGGCAGGTTGGGCTCAGAGCCCAGGGGACTTCGTAGCTGAGTGGGGCTCTAGCCCTGGCCTCCCGAGTGCTAGTCTGACACTCTAACCACTGGATGTGCAGCCCCCAGGTGGCACCCAGGGCTGCCGCACTCCTGCGCTTGTGTGTCTCAGGAAATAGGGCTCCCGCCTGAGGACTCCTCCACAGGACCCTTTGTCCTGCCTTCTAAAGCTTGCCCCCCCTTTTTTTTGCCCCACTGCTGTCCCTAGGAAAACCCGATCTTTACCACTGAATCAGATCAAACTTCAGTTCTGGTTTTCTGCAGAATTGTTTTCAGCAGTAAAGAGCAGGCTTTTGCGGGGAAAGTGCCAGAAAAAAAGTGCTTGGACATGAAATCCTGGACCTGTGCCTAGAAATGCAGAGCAAAGGGAAGTGTGGAGGACTCCCAGCCCCCAATACGCCCCCCTCTGGCCGGCTTTGCTGGGATCCAGGATGGTTTTGCTCTGTGGCTCCATCAGGAATAAAGTGAGAGGAAGGAATAAAGCCTGCTTCTTCTGGTTTCTACTCCAGCTGTGGAGTGCCAGGGAACCTGCTCTCCATGAAGAAATATGTCATTGCAAAGGGTGATTAGCACCCCATGGAGTGGGATTTACTGTTTGTGTGCTTGCCTTGGAGGAGACCTCTATAGCCCCCTCCTCAGGGGGAAGGAACCTGTTTTGGCTCTCCATGCATTGTTAAGACTACATCTCCCCGCATCCCTGGCCACTGGCTGGGCTGACTGCAGGGGCTGATGGGTGCTGTGGTCCAGCAGCATGGGGGGGGCAGGGGGTGCCCGTGCAGCTGCTTCCTCTGTCTTCTGGAGTCACTGGTGGATTAAGATGAAAACAGCCACAGGAATGGGAGTTATGGGGGTGGCAGTGGGGGAGAAAAATTATCTGAGCATTGCTCCATGTGGCATTTTTACTCTGCCTTTTGAAAGGACAACAAATCAAACACAATGAGGGAAGTCTGGGTTCAACTGGTGGTCTTTTATGCCAGGGCTGGGGAAAGCACCCTGCAGAGCTCATCGTGGAATCAGAGAATGGTAGAGCTGGGAGGGACCTCCGAGGGTCCTCTAGTCCAACCCCCTGCAGTGCAGGGACCTCAGCTGCAGCATCCAGGACAGGAGGCCTCCCAACCTCTGCTTAAAACCCTCCAGGGAAGGATGCCCGTCCCTGGCTGTGCATGCCCACACTAGGCAGTTCATGTGCCCAGGCTGACAAAACCAAGCGCGATGGACCACTGGCCTGAGCTGGCATTAGGCAGAGTCGGGGACTGGGGGCCTCACAGAACCAAGTGCCTGGAGTGAGTGCTTGGCGACTGCGCTCTTGTGGGCAATCAGTTGAGGGGAGAGCGGTTGGCAGACGGAGCCACCCTGCTTGTTTTTCACGGTGTGCAGAACCAAAGCCTGTTTCAGATGGAAAAGCCACCTAAATCCAAAACATCCAATGGCTAGAAATGCAGGCTTTATTCCTGTGCCATTGTTTTCCCTTCAGCCCCTTTTACATAACAGAGATTTACACAACCATCTTGCAGGTCCTTCATTGCAGGGAGTTGGACCAGATGGCCCTCGCATCCCGTCCAGCTCTACAGTTCTATGATTCTAGACTGTCTAGCCAGGGGTAGCTGGCTTTAGCCTTGGTTGGTGGTTCATAACATTCAGTTCAAGAAGTTTAAAAGGGTTTTGAGTGCGTGTTCTCAAAGCTATATTTCTCTCTAACTCTGTGCCAACCCCTGTCTCCATACAGAGTGGGGACCCAGGAAAGGGGTGGGAGGTCTACCCTGTAGGCTAGTTGTGCAAAGATGGTGCCCTTTGGTACAGAAAAGGGGCAGGCGCCTTCCCTTCTCCTCCACACAAGGCGGATTTATGAGGAAGTGTTTATTAGGGAGAAGAATGAACAGGGATCCCTTAGATCTGCCATAGAAAGCAGCTTGTTCTCCAGGGAAGATCAGCTGGAGAAGGAGATGGTGCTCCCACCCAGCCATGTGCTGCAGGGGGCGAGCCATGCGCTTGCTGACAGGAGGCGTGTGCAGTGGGTCTTGACCCTCCCCGCCCACCTGACCTCATTTATTTGTTGTAGGGGGGGGCTGAGGGTTGCCAGGGGCCCTGGAGTGCCAGATGGCACGGGGTTGTGTGTCTGCTGTCATTCAGCCAGATTAATGGGAAGTTTGTAAAAAGGGGGAGAAAACAATTAAGCAAGAATCCCAAAAACAAAAGGCAGCCACGTGTGCCCCCCCCCCGCCTGGCCAACAGTCGCTGGAGCACAATGCCTCCTCGCCTTACAATGCCCAGGGCCAACTGTTGCAAACGACAGGGACCTTCCCCAGTTTTTAAACCATTTGATGCTCCTGTTTACTCACAGCCTGGCCAATGGCGGAGGAGGAAGGGGGGACCACCTGATGCTCTTTCCCAGGCCCAGAACTCCACCAGCCCTGCCTGGCAAGGCGGGTTATTCCATCTTGCAGGCAAGGACTAATACTGAGGAAGAAGAGAGCACTGGGGGGGGGGGGAGCCAGGAGGGTCCTAGCAGGGGCGTCACCTTTGCTTCCTGCAATCACCCTTGGCCTTAAAAAGAGAAAAACGAGCTAAGTTTTGCTTTGAGGTTGGCAGAGGAAATAATCTTATTTTAGATAACAGGAAAATTTTCGACGCTCAATCTGCAATAAGCCAAGTGTGGCAAATTCTGCTAGAACACTGTGGTTCTAGGTTTCAGTGCTTTTGTGCACCCAGGTGAAATGGGATTTTTACTTTCATTAATGTACTTGGAAGTGCAATAATATTGAACACTGTATGACCAGGGTCCCCAATGTGGTGCCCGTGGGCACCATGAGCCCTCAGACACCCCCTTCATGCCCACCCAGACCCTTTGCTCCTCCCAATATTTTCTTTTTACTTTTTTTAAAATGGATTTTTTTAAATTTGGTATTGGGAGAGGTTGCCTGTTTTTTGTTTTCTTTGTTAAAGGTAAAGGTACCCCTGCCCGTACGGGCCAGTCTTGACAGACTCTAGGGTTGTGCGCCCATCTCACTTAAGAGGCCGAGGGCCAGCGCTGTCCGGAGACACTTCCGGGTCACGTGGCCAGCGTGACAAAGCTGCATCTGGCGAGCCAGCGCAGCACACGGAAACGGCGTTTACCTTCCCGCCAGTAAGCGGTCCCTATTTATCTACTTGCACCCGGGGGTGCTTTCGAACTGCTAGGTTGGCAGGCGCTGGGACCGAGCAACGGGAGCGCACCCCGCCGCAGGGATTCGAACCGCCGACCTTTCGATCGGCAAGCCCTAGGCGCTGAGGCTTTTACCCACAGCGCCACCCGCGTCCCATGTTTTCTTTGTTACCTGTGTTTTAATTGTGATTCCCCACCCCACCCCAGATGGTTATAACTTCTGAATGCTTTTGCCTGTTGTCTGGGGGGGGGGAGTGGGGGTTCTGACCATTGCCAGCCTCTTATCTGAGAATTATTTTATTTTTTTAAGTACACACCACTTGATTGTTAAAACAACAACCTCAAAGTGGTTTGCAATAAAGATAAAACAATGAACTGATCAGTAATAAGAATTAGCAAAAATAATTAAACACTTTCAGAAAGTTAGAAATAGAATAAGTACAGGTTAAAGCTTTCTAAACTTTATTTATTTATTTATTTATTTATTTCATAAAATTAGGGTGCTTTGTGGTGTCCACAACAGTTTCTCAGATTCCCAGTTGTGGGCCTGGGCCCATGCTGTGTGAATTGGGGGCGGGTTGCAGTGGCTGACACTCAACAGGGATTTGTGTCCAGCCTCAAGACTATTGGAGAAAAGCCCATCCTAAGTCTCTCACCTGCGCGTCTTGTTTCCCTGCTCTGTAGACTCTTGGCTTCTGACCCTTCACAACTGGGTGAAGACGACCTCCCCGGTGACTTACAGTCCCTGTCCTGGCTGACTTCCGTGGACGTCCCTCGGCTGCAACAAATGGCCAGCGAAAGGATGGACTTTGGACTCAGCTCCCATAATGCTGTGCTGCAGCAGACAGGTAGGTCTCTTGCAGGGATGTTGAGTTGCTCCATCAACTGCTATGGGAGCCCTTTCAGGGGGTGGGGTGGGGAGTGTTTTCCCCTCCTTATTTCTACCGCCCTGCATATTTATTCATTTGTTTTGGCCTCTGTGCGTGCCTCGGGTGCTAAATGGACATGTGCTGGCACTCCTCTTGTGCGTGCGAGTGGCGTGGTTTTGTCTGCACACACACTGGAAGACTCACAATGCCCCGTGTCTCTCCCGTTGCCCAGCAGGGTCTATGCCAGGGAATCTGCATGCCACCGCAGGGACTCCTGGAGCAATGATCCACATCCAGGCCAGCCTGCCTCAAGGCATTCTGGGAGGACTGAACACCGTTTCATCTCACGGTGCCAATGTAAGCACTTCCTTTCCCTCCCCATTCCTGGCCAAGGAGGCGTTTCTGACCTGGTTCAACTGACGTTCCTCTTCTCTTTCCTTTGGCAGCAGATAAGCCAGTATGTGGTTGGGGGGCAGCTGTCTCCCAGTCTGCAAGCGCAGGCAGCCCCCCTCTTCCCTCCTCTGCCCCGCCATGTCCAGCAGGTGTTCACCATCGCTCAACACGCGCAACAGGTACCATCTCCTGCCCCCGAGGCTGTGTGCATGTTGAGGCACAGAGCTTTAAGGGGACGTAAAACAACTTTAACAAAGAAGCGCAGCCAAGTCAAGGGCAAGTGACCCAAGCTGAGCTGCTGCGGGTTTATTTGCCTTTATTTGAAAGCATGGCAGGGGGCCACAGTGGGGGGGTTGGTGGAGGAAGCAGCATGTGTTTGGATTCAGAGCAAGAGGCTCAGATTGCAATCCAGAGATTTAATCCCAATTTAATGCAGAGATAGGGCTCATCCACACTTTCACTTGACCCGTATTTTGATCATATTGTGTCCTGATTATTTCACCTGGGTCTGAGGGCATTTCTCGTCCTTTGGCTGCTGTGCCTTGCGAAAATTCAGTCTTACCCACTGAACTGAAGCTCGGTCAAACTCATTCTCTCTTTGGATTTCCAGCACATCTGATAAATTCAGATTCAGTGGGTAAGATTGGATTTTCACAAGGCACAGCAGCAGAACAATGAGAAAAGCCCTCGGACCCAGGAGAGCAATTGTACACAATATGGTCAAAATATGGGTCAGACGAAAGTGGGGTTCAGGCCTTGATTTTGGAGCAAGAGGCCCAAGTTTAAATCCAGAGATTTAATCTAAAGATTTGGCTTTGGAGAAGGAGGCCTAGATTTAAATCCAAATATAAATCCAGAATTTTGGCTATCATGTCACCTCTCAGTCCAGGCTAACATGTAATGTTATAAGTTATATCTGTGTCTTGGTATCCTCCTCTCCCCACCCCTTATGATGAAGGAAAAGGTCTTTAAAGTCTCTATTTAACTGCTGAGAGAGCTGAAACTTTCCCCCCTTTCTCCCCCCTCCCCTCTTCCCCACCCCAGTGCCCTCCAACGACCATCTACAGCACCTCTTACGGGACGCAGCCTCAATACTCACAGCCCCCCCGCCTGGCTCCTCACAGCACCCAGGAACAGCAGGCGAAGCCTTACCCCAAGCCTATCTACTCCTACAGGTGAGAAGGACCACACTTTGCCCAGGCACACCTGCCCGTCTTATCCCCAGAGAAGTCTGTGCCCCAAACTCAGCAACTACAGCTGAAGTGAGTTGCTGTTCCGAAGGGCTTCCAGGTCTGGGGCTTAATTTGGGAATGAACACACTTAAACCTCATGTGTCTTTAATTTGCATAGTCCCAACAGGCCAGCCTTTAACAGCGCAAGGTTGAAACTGCACCAGTTAAATTAATGTAAGGTGCAACTGTACTGTAATTAGTGACAGCGTTTCTTTTTCCTCTTTCTCTTATTGGATTTTCCCCACTAAGGATCAATCCAGCTAAAGAGAAACAAACAACAAACAAGCCCCACATGCTGATGCGAGCCGGGTTGTGTGGGTGTTGCAGAACTGCAGCATCCGCAAACAGCACCCATCCCACAGTAAACATCCTCTGTCATTCTCACTTCTCCATCATAAATGAGAAAAGAACTTTACGCTGTGAAAAAATTGCAAAACAATCCTTAACTGGACCTAAGTCCTGTAAATGCAGAAGGGATGACTCGTGGGAGGGGGCTTACTGTGCCCTGGAGTTACTGAAATGGGGAGAGATTACTCCGAGGAACGGTCTGCAAAAGGGGGGGGGAACGTTCTGCACCACCAGAACAAGAGTGCTGGGCTAAGACCTGGGAGGCCAAGGTTCAAGTTTCCCCCCTCAGCCATGAAGCTCACTGGGTGACCTTGGGGCCACTCGCTGTCTCTCAGTGTAAGCCTCCCTCACTAGGTGGTTGTGAGGTTAAAGTGAAGAGGAGAGAACCATGTACTCCAACCTTTTTGCTCCTTGGATTAGAAGGTGGAATATAAATGGAAGCAGCAACAAGAACAGGAAGGCAGGGAGGAAACTCTGACTTCTCCTCTTCCTTGCAGCTGCTTGATTGCCATGGCCCTGAAAAACAGCAAGACGGGCAGCCTCCCTGTCAGCGAGATCTACAGCTTCATGAAGGAGCACTTCCCCTATTTCAAGGTGAGGGAGGCAGGGCTTGCCTTGCAGCTGACATGGAGAACTGCAGAGGCAGAGCAGAGCCATCCTGGCTGATAGGCATTGAATTTGCCCCATCCTCTTGTAAAGCATCCAAGTTGGTCACTATCACTGCCTCCTGTGGGAGGGAGTTCCACAGTCTAACTGTCTCCATGATAAAGTCCTTTATTTGATCTGTCTTCAGTCTCCCAGTATTTAACTTCATAGGGTGTCCATGAATTCTAGTCTTATGAGAGAGGGAGAAAACTTTTTCTCTGTCAGCTTTCTCAACACCACGCATAATTTTATAAACTTCTATCATTCTTACTCACCTTTTCTCTAAACTAAAAGGTCCTTGCTGCAACCTTTGTTCACGTAGGACCCATTTGGGTCCCATAGCAATGATGTTGCCTCATGGAAGTGCTCGCTGGTGCTTTGCCTTTGAAGGGCACAATCCCAGCCCTGGACACAGGGCTTTTCTTCTTCTTAAATGACCTGAGGAAGTGGCCTTGCTCCCTTTTGCAGACAGCGCCCGATGGGTGGAAGAACTCCGTCCGCCACAACCTGTCCCTCAACAAATGCTTTGAGAAGGTGGAGAATAAGATGAGCGGCACGTCCCGCAAAGGCTGCCTGTGGGCCCTCAACCCCGCCAAGATAGACAAGATGGAAGAGGAGATGCAAAAGTGGAAGAGGAAAGACCTGGCAGCCATTCTCCGGAGCATGGCCAACCCAGGTGAGCAGCAGGCCGGCACCTGGCTAGGAGGCTCCTGGGGGAGAAACGGCAAAATCACCGGATGTGGCTGCCGCACCCCTGCAGGGGAGGAGATGCGCGGAGGGTGATGCCCACGGACATGGAGGCTGCTCCCTCCACACAGACGGCAGCTCGTTTAGCTGGTCTCTTAATTTTTTTAAAGCTTATGTCTGCTTTTCCTCCCAGGCACTTGAGGCCATGCACAGGGCTCCCAATTTTATGCTATGTTGGTATCTATTTATATGCCGCCTTTCAGCGCTTTAAGTGTATTGCATGAATGTGGCCTTAGTACTGTGAAAGGATATAATTTCTATATTTTCTTGAGCTGTGGGCCCCTTCTGAGGGACTTTACTCCCCACGCATCAATGGCAATCTCCCCTTGCAGAGGAGCTGGACAAGCTCATCACAGACCGACCCGAGAGCTGCAGGCGGCTGAGCAAGCAGTCTGAGGGGGACGGTTCCACGCGGAGCCACATGGCGGCAGCCGCAGGGCGCATCTCACACTTGCAGCCCCAGCCGGTCATGACACTCGCCCTGCAGTCCCTCCCGCTGCACCACCAGATCCAGACGCAAGCGTGCATGACTCCAGATTCGCCTGCTCCTGCGCAGACCCCTCCCTTGCACCCGCTGCACGCTCTTAGCCAGAGTCCCCTTCCTCAGCATCCGATGAGCCGTGCCCCAGACTTCCTCAGCGTGATGACCGACATGAACGCAGAGGTGGATGCCCTTGACCCCAGCATCATGGACTTTGCACTACAAGGTAAGGGGAAGAGTTGGGGGGTGGAGATGACTGCTGGATGGCAGGGATTCTCCAGCTGTGATTCCTGCCTTGCAGAGGGTTGGACTAGGTGAGCCTTGGGGTCCCTTCCAACTCTATCATTCTTTAATGTGGGATTTGAACTCAGCTGTGGAGGGGTTGATACCAGTCCAAGTGGGGATCTAGGTAGGTCCTCATGAGGTTTGAGATGGGGATCACTCATGGGCTTCCTTAGGACAGCTGGCTGGTTTCATCATGGAGGGAGATGGGCCTCTTCTCACTAGAGCCAATGTGATTGTGGACAACTGGTGCGTTTCGCAATCCTCCTCTCTTGCACCTTCCACCTTCTCAAAGCTGAACTGTCACCAATCTTCACTGCTCTGTTGTTGTCCCTATTATGAAAAGGTAACATCTGGGAAGAGATGAAAGACGAGAGCTTCACCTTGGAGAGCCTGGGTGCTTTCAGCAACTCTTCTCTGGCCCTCTCTGACTGCGACCTGGCCCCCGCTGGGCTCACCCCTGCCTCCAGCAACAACACCGACCACCCCTCCTTTTCAGACTTGCAAGTGACAGGCCTCTACACAACATACACAACGCTGGACCCCATCTCTGCCACTCAGTACATCAGCGCCCAAGGAAACAAGCCTATCGCCCTTCTCTGAAAGAGCCATTCCCGTCCCTTGAGCCTGACTGAGAAACAGAGAAGCCCAGTTCCTTCTGGGGGTGCTTTGAGCCTGCAAAATTATCTAAATTGGGGAGGAGAACATGCCTTGCTGCTCCTTCAAGCATCCCAAGCAAGAGATTTTGGTGAGATGCATCGTCTTGAAGACACCATCTGATGTGAGGGGATCCTGGTGTGCTCCAAGGCAAGCTGCAAAATTTCAGCAAAGCCCCCCCACCCCAACCCGCTGATGCTTGGGCTGTTCTGAAGCCCATTAGGGTTGCTCTGTCATTTGTGACAGTCCAAGCCGCAACTGGCTGAGCTTTCTATCACTAGTTGCAACTGTGTGCCCCCAGCTCCACTCTGGGGCCTGCGGGTGGTTCCTCCCCAGACCTTCTTCCCCAGTTCCCAGAGGCTTCACTTCCATTAGTGATCCCCCTGCCTCTTGACCAGTCTCTCTTCTCTTCAGGCAAAAGGGGGCGAATCTCCCCTCCCCTCTGTCCATCTCAAGCCACACCATCCAGCTACCCTCCCTCCCTGCAGGCTCTGGACCCTTCCTTCGGCTCTCCCTTCCCTCCCCTCCAGCATCCTCCCTCTGCACAGTCTTCAGCCATCCCTTCTGGGAAGCCCCTGAGCAGCTGCCAGATGGTCTCAGTCTAGTCCAGGCCATGGGCAGCAGAGTCTTCCGAGGTGCCAGGAAGGCTCTGCCTCTCGAGGGAGGAGGGTGGCTCGTGTTCCCTGGTAGAGAAGGTCTCAGCTCAGCCCTCACCAAAAGCTGTGCCCTCCAGCCTCGGCCCCACCTGCACATCTGTGTGAGCCAGGATGGATGGGACCCGTGGCCAAAAACATCTGGGGAGCGTCGGCTTGGCAAAGGCTGTACTAAATAAGGAACTTTACACTGGATAAAACATTACCTTAGGCTTTTAAAACAAAGGAGAAATAATTTAGGATTTATATTCTAGACTTGTGTATAGTATTTCCTAATTATTGTACTAGGCAGTATTACTGTTGTAAATTTTATTTATAATTTATTTTTATGAAAACAAAAAGGAATTGTGTATTCAGCATCAATTTTTTTTAAATGTTGTAGTGACAGGAAAACAAAACCCAAACCTTAAATTATTCAGAAGCACAGCAAAATACTGCAAAACTTTTATGTCAGGTTCTTTCCCTTTTTTTACCTGAACTTTAAAAGAAGTACTTTGGATACTTAAGAGATAAAATGGCACATGTGCCAGACCCAATACTGTTTTTTATGTTTAACCGATAGGGCTTTTCTACAGCTGAAAAAGGACTGTGGCTCTTTTTTTGCAATTCATTCCTGTGGATCTTTTCTTTGAAGTGCACCCCACCCTCTTCAGTGGGGCTTACTGCTCCCAGGTGAGTGTTTCCAGGGCTGCAGCATTAGGTCACAAGGTAAATAAATGAATAGGTCCACCAACAGGAGGAAAAACTGGAAACTGGTTTTAAAATTTGAAAACTTACAATTTAACGTTTAGTCTGCTGATGCCAGTATAACCTTGATGTAATATTTATATTTTTAATAATGTTTTACTAAACACTGGTTGGATAGAATTTTTATAAAGTCTTTTTCAGATCTGGAACAAAATATTTGCTCTTCTTTATAGACTGTGGAAATATTGAATGGGAAAGTTCCTTCCTCTTGGGCTTGTTTGCACAATCACAAGTCTGAGAACGTTGATCAAGGCAGGTGTCAGGGTAGCAGCCCTGCAGAAAGAGATGGCCAGGAGAGCTGAGCCCCGTCATACGGCTGGGCTGCCATCGGAGCTCTCTTTTGCCAGAAGTAATGCAAATCTGCTATTGTTTACAGCGAGGGGGGGCAATATTTTTGGTTCAGCAGGCCAGACGCTTATCTCCCTCCACCCCCAGGGGCCAACTGTGACAGGCAGGTGAGACCACACACGTCAATTTTCTGGCGTCATAATGACATCAGGTGACTGCAAAGCAACCCTGAGCAGAACTGAACTCCCTTGTCATCAGCTGATGAGCAGACAGCTCAGTCCTCCTCTCTGCAGGAGTCAGAGCAGGATTTGACCCCCTGCTCAGTCTTACTGTGTTGAAATCACATGCCAATAAAGAATTGAACCCTACCCCTGTCCATCAGCTGATGAAAAGCTGGGTGTAGTTTTGGAAGAATCAGTCGCCCGTGGGCCGGACGTTCCTCACACTGTTTTGCATGGCGACTCTGCTGTTTTCAGGGCAGCAGAAGTGATGTTCTGGACTGGGTTGGTTTTTCAGCTTAGGATAACTCAAGCATATGGATATTTTTACTCAGATGTAAATCCCCACCAAGTCCAGAATCATATAAAACAAAAGCAGGAGTTGCTATTAATTCTCGGGTTCCTGGGCGTCTTTTTGGTCAAGCCTTCATATGACGCAGCAGACCCAGGGCTCGCCCACATGTCCACTTGTCCCAGCGCTTCCCCCAGGGAAACCTGCTCTTTAGTGTTGAATGGGAGCAAAAGTCTACCTGCGGAAAACCCAACAAACGTTTGCTCCCATTCAGCAGTAAAGAGCAAGTTTCCCTGGCGGAAGTGTGGCTGAGCCCACCGGCTGCCTATCAGCAACCTCTTTCACAGGAAGGTCCCACAAATGTCTTCACTAGTGAAAAAGGACAGCATGGGACTTCCGGCGAGGCAGCATGGCGGCTGCAACAGCAGAAAAGAGCTCCTGAAGCCAGCCAGAGTAAAAGGCTGTCTGGCCGTTTCCCCGGCTCCCAAGACTGCTGCCGCCAGCACCGCCAGCGGAGAGGAATCGGGGGTGCCCGGGAGTCTATCAAAGGAGCCAAAACACCCCCCCCCAGGACTGAGATTGAGCCGGAAAGGCACCCGACCCCCCCCCAACAGCCCAGAGGAGCTCCAAAACCAGGAGAACAGTGGAGCTAAAGCAAAGAGGGAGAGAGGAAGAAAAAGAAAGACAGAAAAAGGAGCCCCAAATTTACCGCTGCTGCCCCCATCTCTGCCGACGGGGAAAAAAGAGGAGAGGTAGGTGAGCACCGGGAAGGAAAAGAGGCTCCGAAAAAACACGTGGCTGAGCCCGACCTGAGCTCCAGCGGCAAGGAAAACAGCGAAAAGCTGCATGACAAAGGAGATCACAGGAAGAAACTACCCTTCCCCCCCTTTTCTTTTTTTTAACCCCCTTTTTGTTAACCCCTTCCTCCTCCCCCTCTCTCTCCCTTTTTTTTAAAAAAATTTTTTTTAAAAAATCTTTTTTATCCCCCCCCATATACCTACTTTTATCATTCTTCTTTTTAAAAGAGGAGCCACTGCTGCTGCAGCCACCCTTTACTTGAATTTTTATTGTTGTTTCTACCTTTTCTACACTATTTAAAGACACCCTTTTCCACACACACACCCCAACTTAAATCTCATTTTATTTTCACCTCAAACTCCCCTCTTAAGAATTAAAATGGCAGTACCCAGAAAAGAGCCCTGAAACAACACAGGTCATTTCCTGGGACTGCCACTTCGCCCCAGACTTTCCACTCTCTTTTACCTATCCTCTTCGTACCTTACTCATTTTTTAAAATAAAATAACCTTATATATATATATATACACACACAAAAACACTTTTTTTAAAAAAACCTTTAATTCTCATTTTTATCTTCTACCCGTACCACTTTAATTATTATTATTATTTATAAACAAAAGATAATAATAATAATTAGGGGGAAATAGTTTTTTTTAAAAAAACAACAACAGTCTACTCATCTTCTTACCTGCCCCCCCCCCCGCTTTGGCGGCACCGCTGAGGCAACTACAGAAGCCCTACAGAAGTTCTTAAAACACAGGCTAGAAGTGACACAAATGACCACCTAATCCAAACGCTCTGCACAAGCCACCAGCCAGCAACGCCTGATCAGCTCAGCAACCCAACAACACCCAGGAACCACCACTGCCACAACTCCTAACCACCGCTCTACTCCAAGAGGATGCCAAGCCAACCTCAAACCAAAACCATTAGGGAGACTGAGATGACACCAACCAGGGAGATGGCAAACAAAGCTAAGACCGTAACTCCCCTTCAAGATGATGACCGCCCAGTAACGAAACGAGACCTGAGGGAAATGGAAGCAAGATTAGAAGCACGATTAGAAGAAACACTGAAGGCCACAATGGCTCCCATGCAGGTACTAATCAACAATCTAACCTCCAAAGTGGAAGCTCTAGAGAACAAGAACCAAATGCAAGAAAGAATAATAGAGCAATACCGGGAGGAGAATGCACGTGTGAACAAGAAACTGGACGAACTGGTAAACCAAATGGAAGCAGAACACAGAGAGATGAAAATTAAGCAAGCGGACCTTGAAGACCGCAATAGACGTTGTAACATCCGCTTCCGCAACTTTCCTGAAAAAACAGAGGAGAAAAGCCCAGCAGACCTAATTATACGCTGGCTGAAAAACACAATCCCAAGCCTGAAACTTGAGGCAGATGACTTGGAGAGGGCTCACAGAGCCCTAAAACCTATGCCAAAACCCAGCGCCCCCCCAAGAGACATCATTGTATGCTTCACACGCTACCAAAAGAAGGAAGAGGTATGGAACAACATCAGAAACTTAACCAACCTTCGATACGGAGAAACCCCCATCCTGGCCTTACAGGACTTATCCCAGGATACCCTAAACCGGAGGAAAAGCCTGCGCCCATGCACCCAGCGTCTCCAACAAGCAGGGATCAAATACCGATGGGGCTTCCCCTTCCGCCTCATTGTAACAACCAACACAACACAACACATGGCTACCAACATACCTGAGGCCCTGCAACTACTAAAGAACCTTGAACTCGACCTCCCACCGGAATGGCAACCGACAAACCCACCAAGTGACAGCCCCAACCACGAGGAAACAACAGCAAACAACTGGACAACGGTACAGAAGAATAAGAAACAACAGAAGCGGCACAACAACGCAAACCAATACAGGCAAGCATCATGCTCAGAACCGTCCCGCCGGCCATACGACACAAGAAACCAGACCAAGATTAACCAAACCAATTCATCGCAGATGGACAACCCTACAACAACAACAACCGCAGCTGAATGAAGAAACCAGGAAAAAACCACAAACTGAAGTACTGGTGATTTCCCCCCCTTCCCCCCCCAAAACATAGATTTAGTTAACACCATCAGCATCCCCCCCAACCCCGCACCCCCACAGAAATCCCCACCCCAACACCAGTCCAGACGACCTCAACCACATTCCCCACCACCCACACCTTCAACACCCCCATACTCCATACTAGGGAAAAACAAATCCTCCAACCTTAATAACACAACCCACAATCAGGCTAAAATCTGATACCCAACCAGCACTATGGTGGCACCAGAGCGTACCAGCACCCACATCCCCACCCCAACACACCAACAATGTTGCCCATAACACTGGCAACATTGCTTATGAACCTTATACCTGACAGCGACGCTACAAAGTCACTTCACACTGTCTCGCTGATCACCCCCTATCGCAAACAACAGGGGGGAAGGCCTGTCCTTGAACACGGCCTTCCACACCAGCTGAGACCTAGGACCAACTGGCTAAATGCCAGATGGCCTAAAATACCCCAAACAAACACCTATATGACTACATATAGGAAACTCTCTACAACTTACCCCCTACTCTTTAACCCAAATCTTACTCTAATCCCATTAGCCCCCCACCCACCACACCCTAGGTCAGCGCAACCCCACTGGTTCTTTAAACAACACGAAGAGAGAGACACAAGACAACCCGAACGGGTTGGCAGGGAATCGCCCCACATAATAGATAAGCAAGATGGCTAACCTAAAAGCAATCACATTAAATGTGAGGGGGCTGGGAAACCCCATCAAAAGAAAACGCATCACCTCATACATAAACACCATGAAACCACACATCACCTTCCTACAAGAAATACACAACCCACCCAAAGGCAGCAAACTCCTGAGCGACCCCCGCTTCAGTCAACAGTGGGTCGCACAAGGCTCAGGGAAAGCCCGCGGTGTAGCCATAATACTCAGTAGAGACCTGAACTTCACTGCCACAACAGTCCTCAAGGACAAAAAAGGCAGATTCATTTTCGCTAAAGGGACACTTGATGGCAAAATCAAACTGACAATCGGCTCCATATATGCCCCAAACACGAAACAATTAGAATTCTTCCAGAAGACACTAAACAAATTCCTCTCCTTCTCTGAAGGGGAAGCAATCCTAGGAGGGGACCTCAATCTAAATATGAAAGGTTTATCCCTGAAAGATATCCACCCCACAACCCCATGGGCAACCTTCCTCCGAAGGAAACCCCCAACAACTAGGAACTCTTACAAGTTACTAAAAATGCTAAAAAAGCAGGGGTCTCTACGACATTTGGGGTGAGCAAAACCCGGGAGACATCAGCCATACATTCCAATCGGGACGCCATGATACAGTGTCCAGACTAGACAGCATTCTACTCACACAGGGTCTGATCCCCTCAGTAGAATCAACAAACATAGGTAACATTAAAATCACAGATCACGCCCCAGTAGAAGTCATCATTAAAATAGGAGAAGGAACACAAACCACCCCATCATGGTCCTTCAGCCCCATCCTAACTACAAACAAACAAATTAGAGAGAGTCTCACAAAAACCCTCCAAAACTACTTCAAGGAAAATGATGTAAACAATATAACAACCCCCCTCCTATGGGACGCAATGAAAGCGGTCACCAGAGGAGCCTGCATAAAAGAGAAAACATTCCTTAAAAAACAAACCTCCTCAAAAATTAGCAAAATAGAACAAGACATCACAGCCCTCTCATCACGCTACAAACAAACAGGATCTAAAAAACTCCTCAAACTTATAGAACAAAAAAGGAGAGAACTAGACTCCCTAGAAATTAACAAAACAATGGTCAACATTCTATACTCTAAACAACGCTTCTACGAATATGGAGGAAAAAACTCCAGATTACTAGCAAATAGATGTAGGAAAAAAGCACTCAAAACAAGAATACACTGCATCACCAAAAAAGACGGCAACATAACATTCTCCCCCAAAGAAATAATCTCAGAATTTGCAGAATTCTACTCCAACCTATACACCTCCCACAACCCACCAGAGAAGGAAATCAGAAAATTCCTAGCAGGACTGACCATGCCTACCCTAACTGATGAGGAACAGGAACTCATGGACAGCCCTATCACCCCAGAGGAAATAGATGCGGTCCTCAAAAAACTGAAACCACATAAAGCCCCAGGCCCAGACGGCTTCACAGCAGAATTCTATAGGAAATTCAAAGAACCCTTGATGCCCTACATGACCCGCCTATTCAACGACATCATAAAAGGGGGCCCCATCCCCAAAACCTGGACCCACTCCAAAATAGTCTCCATCCCAAAACCACTAAAAGACAGCCTCAAAGTAGAATCATACCGCCCAATCTCATTAATAAACCAAGACTACAAGATATTCACATCAATCTTGGCCAACCGCCTAAAAATCTTCCTACACAAGTTAATAGCCCCAGACCAGACTGGCTTTGTCCCTGGCCGCAATATAACAGACCCCATCAGGAAACTACTGAACCTGATCGAACACAGCAAGGCAACCAAACTCCCATTGACAATTATGTCCCTAGACATCCTCAAAGCCTTTGATTGCTTAGAGTGGAAATACATATTAGCAGTACTAACTAACATGAAATTTGGCCCCAACTTCCTACAAATCCTCAAACAAATATACTCCCAAGCCTCAGCAAAATGCAGAACCAACAATATGGATTCTAATACTATAGCTATCCAAAGAGGCACGAAACAAGGATGCCCACTGTCTCCCTTCTTATTTATCCTGGCTCTGGAACCCTAGCAATCCGCATC